TGTATGTGTATTTTGTCAAATAGTTTTACATTTTCAAAAGCAACATGTGCACTAATTTAGTCTTCTGGCTGGGTTACATTAATTTGTAAATATTCTTATGTGTAAATGTATGTGTATGTATGTACTGTAATCCTTAAAATTACAAAGTGTGACATGAAATGAATACCATATTTCATTGAGGAGCTTTGGTACATGTAAATGTACGTCTCCTATTAGCTTTATCAAACTTGTTTTCAACAAAGTATAGTAGTTATTGGCTCCAATTTCAGAAGAAATTATGTTGTACAGGTACATGTACATCCAACAAGTACAGGCAATTATCATTTTGTTCTTTAAAAATTATGATCAGCAATTACTCCTAAGCTATGAGGTGCTATTAGTTTCATGGTTTTTCTGCTTGAAGGGATGAGAAGCCTACACACTTAAAATAGTCTACCACTAGGCTCTATGAGATACATGTAGCTACATGTAGTTTGATACTTGAATTCTTAATGTCCCACCAACCAGACCTAGACACTTTCCTAATCACTCAAAATAGCATACATCCTGAGGTTGGTCTGCCAACTGTGAGGGGGCAGGGGAAGACCCACGTCATTTCCGAGACAGCTCACACAAGGCCCCAGGCACGCCTTTGACTACCTTTAAGGTTGGTCAGTCTTTAATCATTTTGTCCTTAGCACCCTCTTGTCAAGTAATAAATTTAATGAGTGTGTACAAAGTGTGATGGGGGCAGAAAGGGGGACACACCTTACATGTACATGTTCAAGTACATGTACAGTGTATGTGTAACTGTGCTTCCGTGATCACCAGTCATTCAGATAATTGGTCAATACCCCATATACAGTATGACCACAATTTGTATGAGTCTGCAAACATGTACATACAGGTACAAGTACATGTTGTTGAAATTAATTTAACCATGGTACAACTGATGAGAAAAGAGCTGTTTACGGGTATGTATGCCGAAAAATTCTGATGATACCGATATCTTGCAGATGTGAAGTTTGTACATACATGTACATGTAAGAGGAATGGGAAATTATACATTTATTGCCACTCATACATGTTTTGTCCTATGTGTACGTGCACATGTTATGGGGGCCAGAACAGCAGTGTTTGTCTTTTAAGTTCAACACCCCGAACCATCTTACACTTGAGAATAAATATGTCGGCTACACTTTGAATGAAACGGTGGAGCACTTCATGTTCTTACAACATGTACAAAGGTGTATACATTCCCTTTTGCAGTCAAATTATGGATGGAACAAAATTAACCTGTCAGTTTTTACACTTATATGGACAATTTTTATTTCAAAGCAGAACACTTTCTGGTCTCCAAACTGATACACATGACAAACAGGTACATGTACAATACAGCGAAAAATCAGGAAAACACTGACAACATGATGGTTACTTACCAGCCCTTTTATTTTGCTTTGTGTCATGCATAAAAAATGCCTTGAACTTTAAAGCATTCCTCAGCAAAGCACCGTGTTTCGCACATAGTGTATGTGGTACATGTACACGTACAACATGTACCGTACATGTATAAATCAGCTTCCCAACGGATAAGACTTAAAAATATCTCACAATGCATGGACAATTTTAAGGGGATCATTTCTTTAGCACATAAGATGTGCATGTGTAGTACCTGTACATGTGCTAAACCATAATAAATACTTATAAACATGATTAAGAAGCATACAGACTGACAAACTCAAATTTCTGCTCAATATGTACATGTACACCTACATGTACATACATGCACATGCAAGTGTACCCGCACATGTACATTGACATTTTGGGGCGTTAGCGGTAAGGTACTTGTACATGTAGGTAACTAGGTATTAAGAACCTTGCCTTGGCATTTTGCACAAGGATTAACAGTAAAACAAGACTTTAATAGGCTCTAATTCAACAACACAATGCTCCCACTTGTTCTATTTAACATACCACATATAAATGAGTCCAAACTGTGATCAAGTCAATCCGCAAATAATTGCATCTAATTTAACCCGAGTCTTCGTTTAACTGGTTTAACACTCAGACGGACAATGTACCAGTAATTCTGTGTAGGGATGCTCCTCATTACCAGTAATGGAGAGTAAATTTCCCTTGCTATCAATAAATGGAAGCCTGTACATGTACATTTTCATCAACCATGTTCCAAGCTAGACTGTTCATTCAATCATTCAATTGAGAACAAGGGGCACTGATGGCACAAAACTTTTGACACTGTCTGGCCGAAAGTTTGACTCTGACGAACAGCCTTGTACGTGTAACTGATAAATGAGATGTGTCATGTTTCCTGTATTTGTACATTGACTATGCACACCACATTGTACATGTACAACCTCAGCATTTACAAGTACACTGAAACTTGTATTGGTGATCATTCAGTATAGCTCTACATGTTTATGTGGGCACATTTTTCTAATACAAGTACTCACAGTTCAGACTGACAACAGACCATACTCATAGGGGCCTAAGTACATGTAAATGCATACCTGCCAGCCTGTCCTACTCCTTCCTGAGGTCAGACACCACCACATAATAGATTAGACATTTAAATGAACTTAGGGCTCATTCAAGTACCTTTTAATCTATTGTGCGGTATTGCCTGACCTCAGGTAGGAGTATGATAGGTTAGCAGGTCTGTAAATGATATAACTCCTTTAAAGGCATTTTTCTCCCCTTATAAGGATACCGTGCACAATATGGGGCCGATGGGTACCCCCCACATGTCCAATTGCTACACACTCTAGACTATTTTACCTAACACATCCTCCCTATGTCTGTAAAGAATTCCTGCGATTCCGATCAAACAATGACCAACACAAAGGTGGGGTTTGCTCTCTGCCCCATATCTTGCATCATATGCTGATACGATCCGTGGCACACTCTCTGTACATGTTGTGTAAGATCACCAAAATAATAGCAGTAAGCAAGAAAGAGGCCAAATCAATGATCCTAACATGTCTGTTGTTCAAGGTTTTTAAACTTGTTTGGGTATGGCATGTATCGATGGTTTGCGAAATTAAAGACATACATTTTTAATTGCCTTATTAGATTTTCATGTTAAAACTTCTTGTGAGTGTAAAATCTACATTTGGAACTCAGCTCCCTTTAAAGTGTCAATCTCCATCTACATGTACATGTGGTTCTGGTCCCAGCTACACAAACATGTACATGTACGTACCGTGTCTGTATCAGTAAAGTGGTATTTGTCTTCATAAATAATACATGAAAATTTTGAAAAAAGAGGGAAAAAAATATGGGTTCTTATTCCTCGGGAGTTTCTCGGGAGTCAATTCTATTGACTGGATTCAATCATTTACACCGATATTTGTGCTCAGGTTTCTAATACACACAGTGATTGTTTTACTGAATAATGATAGCTACCTACATGTAGATTGCATATGTACAGTAACATATCATTTACAGATAGTTGTACAGAAACTCTGTTAAAATTTCAAAGTAGACAGTTGAGTTAAACTGTTGGTAGTGAGTTATATTAATTGTGTAAAATACATATTTGGAAGTTAAAATGCAAAAGCCTGTCTTAATTTTTGCTTTGCACATTCCTGTGAAGAAAACACAAGCTAGTTCAAAACTTGCCTGTTGAGTGTCTTAGTTGATTATGACCTTTCATTGTGCTTGATATTTTGCACGGAGGAGCACAAAGCAATGGCATTGTTATTACTATTATTTTTTAGGGAATCCCACTTAATAGGGAAGTATCTGTAAATATTTCTGAAAAATCAATCAGTTGCATCAGCCTGCCAGGAGCAGGCCCTGTGAATCAGTTGAAATATTTGTTAATTTTTCTATAAATATCAAGAGCTACTCCTAGGTGTATCTAATTTTCCCTGCTTGTATATTTTGGCACTCATGTTTTTACACAGAATGCCTGATGAGCATAATTGTATGGTTTAAATTGTACAGGTATATAAATAAATATTTGAATGTGTACATGAATGCACACACTCAACAGAGTTTGATCATGCTGAGTTTGTAAAAACGAGAGCCCACAGACTGACCTTTTTGAAAAAAAATGACTCTTTCGTTTTAGTTTTAAGACTAATATGACAAGAGAAGTGCATGTAATTATATGTACTTGATTGCATTTGATATATTCAGGTACACCAGTAAATAGAAGGTGCAACAAAATTATTCTCACATACATGAATGAAGTGCACAAGAGGTACATCAAGTCATGAAGGAGCAAACCTCTAGGAAAATCACAGAGAACTCTTTCTGGTCAATTAATCCAATGTGTGAGTAATGAAAAACAATTCAGTTCATTGTCTTGACCCAAATAAGGCATAACCCCCCTCCTCCCGATTACCTATATAGTGATCATGCTAATGAGCTAGATTCACAGGGCAGTCTGCAGAACCAGGAAATGAGAAAGTTTCAGACTCATTTGCAGACCGGCGGGAGGGGGTGGGGTGGAGAAGCATATCTTTGTTTTTAAAATATAATGAGGGTGGCCATATGCTTATCATAAAAGTCACATAAAGACAGAACTGTTTGCCTATCCTTTAAAATTTGGTTGGATTCACCCGTGGTCAATTGCGAAGAATGCAATCTTGCTCTTTGTTTTATTAGCTTCTGCTGCTAGTTATTTGTTTGATATTTTTAATTTTTTACTTTTTGTGTTCATTTTTAAGATGGTTACATAAAAAAATCAGCTCCACTCGGACCCTGAACAGCTAGAGGGACTTCATATGCACTTGGCTGATCATAAATGTTTAAGCCTACATGTAAGTGAGGATAAGGAAAGTTCCTAATGTAAATTCTGAAGGCCAGGATATTATCGGTGTCCGTTCTCCCAAGTCAGTACCAGTCAAGCACACAGAATTCTAGCCTGCAGGCCTGGTAAAGAGCAAAACTACCAGTAGCAGCTGACACATGATGGTGAATGAACCAGACTTCAGCTGTCATTCTTTTGCATGATATGTAGATGTGGTGACTGTTCTGGACTGCTAAAAAATTACCTGTACGCAGTGACCTCCTGCACTGTAATAGCTCGCTTGTCCTTTGTTCCGGAAAAGCCAAAGGACTGATGCTTGACACTGTATGGGTCAAAAATCAAAAATACAAAGCAGAATGGGAGATTAGAAAACAGCAGGAGTGATGAGATTCATGAAAGCAAAGTTCATTTAATTATGACCCCTAGTGTATGTCATGGCTCATCACAGAGGCAATGAAACATTCCACAGACCATCTGATGAGTATGCACATATACTGTAGTTTGATTTCTCAGAAAACAGTTTCCAGACCCTCCTTGCTTTTTCACAGTTATACCTCTAGCTTTCCAGAGGTTGTCAAGCTCTGGCTGGCCATCAGTACCAAATTAGGCCCATTCAAATGTCATGCCACTATTACAACACTGACCAGTAATACACATGAAAAAGGGAGGTTTGATAGGGCAGTGTTAAGCAACATGTACCAGTGCAATGCTTAAAACTGGAAAGGGCTTCAGGATGATAAAGGAACGAGCCAAAAATGAGAACTTAAAACTTGGCCAAATTTCATATTTTGTTTCCAATGACTTTTTTCATCACTTTTAAATTACATTTACTTTTTATGTACTTTTACATGTACCTTTTTTATGTTTTCTGACACCCCTTTAGCTATGTCTATGGTACAGCGTACATATGAAAATGTACTTGTCTTGTATGGAAACTGGCAAAGCATGCTATGTGATGTGACACAGACTGATGTGACACTGAGCCGAGTAGAAGTAATTTGAACTCTAAGAAATGTCCAACATTGACTGTATTGCAAATACCTACTCAACTGGCAATAATGACTGTCTTGTTTGAGGAGCCAAAAAAGGAGTCAAAATATCATATTAAAATGGGCAAGTTACTTAAAGCCACTTGGTACCTTAATACCTGTCAAGAACCACTCATACGACAGGCTCTTGATCAATAGGAACTGCCAAAGTATCAGAGGTATTTATGGATATGAAAATGTATGCACTGGTACCACCCTCTTTAACACAAATGAGGTTGAAGCTGTTACCAACCAATGGTAACTTGCTATCTACTCTGGCCATTCACATGAAGTACCGGTAGAAGGCAATGTTTGCATTTGTAAGAGAAGACTACAACCTCCCCTTCTAGGTATTAGTATTGCACTATAGTTTGGGATGAAGACCTCGTAAGTTGGTGTTAAACAAAAGCCAAAGGCTGGACTTAAAATCAACATGTACTGATCTACATTCTATTACTATTGTTAATATTCAATACACCATACCATGCCAAGTCACTCTCAATGAGACTAACCAGTTGATAAAGCCACTTTGGAACTTTAGCCACAGATGAGAAGTAGCCACTTGGTCATGTTGGTACCACTTACCACAGTTGAGAATAAACCACTTTATAATTGGTCACTTTGTAAGACTAGCAACAGGTCATATACATGTACATGCAGGCATTAGCCACTTCCTGAGAATGCATGTACATGTAGCTACAGTTACGAATTTCAATTACTGATTATATGTACATAGCAATATTGTGGTTTTACTTTTCTGAGCATTCATACAATGCTGTGAGGTACATGTAAGTAATGCTTCATCACAATTCAAATTATTTATTTGACAACAGTCTGCATCATTTGGCATGGAATTATTGACAGCCCATTAGTTTACTATCCGGCTACAACTGCAGCTATTCGCAGTACTTTCATATCCAGGACACACAAATCACTCACTGTAAGTATTTGCCAATAATGGTCAGTGCATCGTTCACTTCCATATTCTCCTTGTGCATGACAAAACGACAGAAATCTGCACGATTTTTGTCCCAGCTACTTCGCTGTTTTCTTCCTGAGGGTAGAAAAAAAACAAGACAAGGGAATAATAATTCAAATAATAAATACATGAAAACAGATGAAGATGGGTTATGGAGATGTTATTTCTGATCTGTTGTTTTAATTCACTGATTTAACTGTTTCCTTCCTCTTCACTTTACAGTCCAACATTGTTTCAGTAGAAATTAGAATATGCAAATGGCATACAGTACTTTTCCACTCAGAAATGTAGGCTGGATTTCATCCTTCCAAATTCAATATGAGCTGATGATTGAACAGATTCCTTTCTGAGAAGTGACAGCAATTTATACTTTTCCACTTCCATTAGTGAACTGACCAAACATACGATTAAATGTCCATTTGTGATAAATGGTATGCACGGAAGTCAATCAGACGTCTATCCATCAAGCAGAATGACCATTGCTTCTCAAATGATAGTTGCATCACAGGAAAGGACAAATCTTTATTATCTCAAATGACAGACTACATGTACAATTACAATTGCAAGAAACGGACCATTCACTTAAGCTTTAGTTGGTTCCATGTACTCCTAAATTGAGCCATCCTCACAGGTATAGATTTGCAGGCAGCAGAAAACATCTCCAACCGAGCGAAGAGAAGAGCTGGCACTAGCTAAAGGACAAGCTAGAAGTGTACAGTGTGTGCAGTGTGAGCTTTGACTGACAATCTTGATGCTTTGGGATTTGGTGGTATATTGTGGCGTTACGCCATTCCGATGAAGGTCAGGGCGCCTTCGTCCTTGGACCGCGGCACCGGAGAGCACATACCGGAAGGACCCTGAGCAGCTTGGGATGAGTTCGTTGGGATGGAACCTTACCATCCCCCAAGAAAGTTTGATGATCTCTGGTCTTCGTTGAGACGACACCTAATCTGATTGGCCCAAAGCTTAGAGTGATGACTTGAAATAAACTTCATCTGGACACCTGACTTAAATACAACAAACGAAGTGGCACTGGTTTAACCATCAAGGATTCTTCAATCACACACAACCAATACACCAGTAGAGGGCGCTACTGACGGGGGAGAGTGTGTGATTAAACGTGACTTGACTTCGCCCAGAGCAGCGACCACCACAATTAATTGTGGACATCCAGTGTCAAATCAGGGACTTGAGCAAGTCTATGGGGCTTATTGTAAGGGCTGCGCTATACATACAACTCACATCATGAGCTAGCAATCTGCCGTTACATACTGGTATGTAGATCGACCACAAGCTCCTATTAGGAATTATACCACACCACCAATTAGCCCTCAACCTACCGAGCCCCTCAAAAACACATACACCACTCCAGACTTAGGCACAGTCACGCTAGGCTAGGTGACTTTAACACTTGCACAGGATTTTCAACCCTTATCTAAGGATCAGCCCTTGACTAAGGACAACTGATCATCAGTAACATGCCCTTTATGTAGCCACACAAGCTGGCCGCTGTTACAACTACACCTGTGCGCGCGCTAAATGTGACCAAGCAATGACTTCCGCTAACCAATTGCCCCAGGGGCAAGGCGGGGTCTATATGCAACGTGCTCGCTATGCGCGCCTAACGTCTACCTTTGTTACTGGACAGAGCACTATCTATAACTTCGCACTGCGCCTAGTGACGACATGCACCCTCTGTCACATCACCATGATCACAGTATTATATTCTGATGGTTCAGTGGTGTGACGGTTTAGCATGTTTTAGTGGTACATGTACATACAGGTAGCTATAGTTTGATGATTTGGTTGTCGATCTGGTGTCCTAGAGTTTTGTTTCAGTATTTTTGCTAGATTGCAGTTGGATGGTTGATAATCAAGTACTTTTATGACTTCAAGGTGTATTGGCTTGAAGTTTTGGTGTTATATGTGATTTGGGCTTAATTGGTACATGTAGTTTGGTGTCTTTGCCAGTACGGAGTTTGAGCACCTGTTGCCACTGACATTGCACTGCATGATGACAAGCTGCAATCATTTGCTGAATTTACCTCTTCCAACTATCCTTGCCACTCTTTAAGCTGTTCCACTCTGACTTCAAATTCTGCAAACAGCAAAACCACTGCGAGACAGTTTCGGTCAACAGGGCCGTAACAATTAATGTAGGATGATTTCCCTGGATGAAAAAGGCTAACTGTCTTTGTACATGTATGCATTTATCATGGGGCAATAGGGCGTCAATCAATGTTCAACTGAAATCCAAGGGGGTGTATAGTATGTAGTGAATGCCATTTGACAGTGTTCCAATAATCCAAGGGGATCATTACTTTGAAGGATCAACAATGACAATTAATGAAAGTCTTCACTACACATAAAAAATACCACGGGTGGTAAAGTCAAAGGAAAGTGATTTAATAATAATAATTGAAAATCTATAATGCACAGTTCCATAAAAGTGATCAACGGTGTAGTGCAGGTACTTGTTTCGACTCAAAAGGTGTTTATGAATAGTTACATATAAATATTTGCTTGGCCAGTATCACTGCAAAAATGTACAGGTAAAGTACTCCTGAATGGATACTGCTAAAATGTTCTTGCCTTTGGGTTTGACACTATTAACTTTCACTCTCCTAATCCAGTATTAAACAAGGTTGTTGAGACTGACCAAGCACACTTATTCCCTAAAGTAAATGCATACAAATTGTGTAGTGCACATGCACAGTTGGAAAACCATGGTGGCTTATGTACCGGTACATAAACATCGAGAAACAATCTGACAATGTGATCACGATGATGGGCTTGTTTTGAAAGACCTCATCACTTTAAGAAATACATGTGCATGTAAATACATGTACATTGTACATGTAGTGCCTTGGCCCAGAGAAAAATGTGCTGGTACACAGACAGGTATAAAAGAACTATTACAGTACAGAGCTATTCTGTGCTAATTACTCTCTCAAGTCTTAATATTTACGTGTACTTGTCACCTTGAAACACCTGGGCATTTACGGGCATGAAAGTCATGTACAAATTGAAAATTTTTCTGGGCCAACAAATCTGCCACACGTATACACAGCGCCCCAGTCTGAGAAAGTCAATAAAATCCTAACTGTCACTTTACTGGTTTTGTTTAAATTGCAGGTCTTCATCAATATGCACAATGATTGGTTTATGACAGGTGTTATAACAAACAATGAGTCAGCCGCATGCTAAAACAAGAAGTGGTATGAGGAAAATGGTATGATAGAGATATGAGGGTGATTATTCTGATAGCTTGATACAAACTGAATAAAGTACTTGTAGAATGGCAAAATGATCACCACTGAAGGAGAGGGATGTTGTACTGCAGGTTCAACTACGACCTGTGGAGACTGAGGCAGGATGGATACCTATGGTAACGTAACATCAGAAAGTGGGGTAAAGAATGAGGACAGCACTTTTACACCTTTGCCATTTATTTCACGTTGCACGTTGGTGTTCACCAGCGTAGTGATCATTGTCAGCAATGTTGTGGTACTGGCTGTGCTGGGACGCATGAGGAGCTGCCTCACCAAGATGCAGCTGTTCCTGCAGTCGTTAGCCATAGCAGATCTGCTAGTCGGCCTGATGTGGCTCATCTTGCACTTTGAGAGCATCGTCGGTCGGGACTTGTATGTCATGAGCAACTGGCTGTGCCTGCTGATCGCCCACCTGCCGGCCATAGCCTTGACGGTGTCCGTTCTCACCCTCAGTCTCATCAGCATTGAGCGTTACATTGCCATCGTCAGGCCCTTCCACTACCACAAGCTGCTCACCCGCAGGCGAGCCAAACAGGCCGTGGTGATGGTGTGGGTGCTGGGCGCTGCTTTATTTGTACCTGTTTACCTGCCTTTGCTCTTTGCCACCGGTGACAACCCAAAACGAAACTGCGAGAATGGCTTCCAGGATGTGTTCTACACGTGCATGTACATCATGACTATTGTTATCATACCAAATGTGTTCCTCTCCTTTTACTGCTACACATGCATCATAAGGAGAATCCTGCAACGAAACAAGATCCTGAGAAAGCACCACTCATCCATGCAGCGCAACCGACGCAGCACCGACCGCACCCTAGCCAAAATATCTGTATCTGTATACAGTGGATTCTACATCACATGGCTGCCATTTGTGGTGGTCAGTTGCATCGCCTACATCAATTTAACAGAAATCAGCCCTGTGATTTACCACAGCACCCTCAACTTTGGCCTGTGGAACAGCCTCCTGAACTGCCTGATCTACAGCATTTCTCACAAGCCGTTTAGGACCGAACTGAAATTGCTGGCACTATCCACTTTGTACTTCTGCTGTTGCTGCTGTATAAGGAGAGCAACAAAGAACACAGATTCAAAGAAATGTTGTCACCTGACAGCCGCCCATTCACTGAGGCATAGAAAGTCCCATGTGTGGGCAATCAGTAAAGACCTGACAAGAGATTCTGAGAGCCACTTTAACGTAAATGGATACATTGCAAAAGAGATAATATAAAAAGAAAGATGTTAAATTTGAGACAGCTAACACTGTAGATGAGTAATTGTATAGACAATTAGCTACATGTACATACATGTATATGTGTATCTACATGTATACATGTACATGTATATGCACCGTCTGGTTGACCTTTTTACATTACTTTTCCAAAGGCCGACGGCAACACTTGATTTACTCTAAACTTCAGAGTAGTATGTGTTCCTATCTTATGGCCGCAGAGTCCTCTGTAAAAGTTTAATGTCATTTCAGATCTAAATTTCAGATCAAAACCGCTAAACAAGTAAGTATGTCAGTTTAAATAGCAAAATGTGAAGCTAAAATCAAGTTGTGGATTACACACGTTGGTTCTTGCTTAATGTGAATCTGATATCTACATGTACATGTAATTATGGATAATCACACTTCGCACATATATACAATGTAGATACATGTACATGTTGGTGTGAGGTTGTTACCATACTGGTACTGCACATGTACTGCAGTGAGCAACACTCACAGTGCATGTTCACTGTAAAGTCCAGTTCATAATCGATGCAAAAGTTGTACCATTTTATGATGCCAATTTGCAAATT